TATTCTTAAAAAAAATAAAAATTTTCCTATCAATTATTCAACTGAACTGCAATTAAATTTTTGTATACTTTTTACAGAAACACATTTCATCTTTACTATGCATATAGTACACAATAAGTTTTCAGTTCTTTCCTACAGTTGCAAATAAGGGCTAGTATTTTTCATGCTTTCAGCCTAAAGGCAATTTTCTTTGCAAAGTGTCAACAAAATTCCTGGAGCATGGTATAGTAAGTAAGCAAATATAAAAGTAAAATATATACTTTCCCTATAAGAAATTCCACATAAGAAATTTGTTGTGGCTTACATATAACTGATGCTAGAAATGTAAATCTTGGCTTGTTTTGTAGATCTTAAAGCCTCAACTTAAATAAATAAAAATAAAAAAGCAAGCCAAGTTTGTTGAAAGCCAGTTTAGCTACTTTAAAGTGGTGGATCTAAAGTCAGTAATCTCCTGCATGTCAGTGATTGTAATTTTAAGAGCTTGAAATCAAGTTCCCAAAAGCACACACAAACACATTTTATGTATAGCTCTCTGTGTGTGTGTGTGGGGGGGGGACACCGGACAGGACAGGTGTATAAATAAACAATTAAAAGTTTTTCCTCAAATGCTGAGAGTCACATATGTATGACTTATTAACTCACTGGGTGCATCCAGATGAGCATGCACGTGTGGTTTGTGACACCTCAAAGTTGTCTGAGACATCACAAACCACGTGTGGTGCACATGCACCTAATTTGTCAAAAAACCCTACTGTTAAAAGTGGTGTGTGCACGCAGAAGCAGTGTGCTGCCATATATGGAGCCTGGGTCAATGTGCTGCATGCCAGAGCACATGTGCAGGGGCATGCCCTGGGACAAAAAGCAGTGGCACAAGTATGTGCTGCTGCTATCTATGCCATGGGAAATGCACGCCCTTGCACATGTGTGCTTCTCTGGACATAGCTATTAAGTGTAAGTATCTAGGACTGAATTGTAGGATTAAAGCTCTGGGAATGACGCAGTGAAGAGTGTGTGAAGGGGTTTAGTGTGTACTTCCTTGCACAGTGAAGAGTGAGCCTTGTGACCTATGCCTGTTAGGACTGCCCAGGGGTGCAAGGGACCAGCCCTGTATAGGAGGAAGCGTCTTCTACTATGCCACTCTCTCATGCACCTGCCAGCCACAACCTGGCCCAACAGTTCAAGTTCAAATCAAGAAGTCTTTTACTCAAGCAAACTTCAAATTGCCCAAATAGGAGCTAACTAAAAGCTGAGAGAGAGGAGAATAAGGACCTCAGGTGCGACATGGAGGCCCACATTTTTAAAGATATTTAAGCAATCAATTTTTATTGCCTACTAACTTTTTGGGTGGTTCTTGATCTTAGTGGGAATTTGGTATAGAAATACCTTTAAAAGTTTTTGTTTTAGTATGTATGCATGCTATGTAATGTGTGCTGTGGCAGTAGTCACATTAAAGGGGACACTTCTATGTGTTCGATGGAGTTCTTTAGCTTTAATATTGCACTGATGCAAACACGTTTTTCCCATCATGCGTTCATTATATACATGGCACAGATCTGTATAGAATTATTATATGTATCTTGTCAGCACTTGGCTGGTAATCTGGAAAATGCAAGTAACATGTAGTATTTTGTGATCAGTAATTTATTCTACCAAGTAGAATTACTCTGTCTTTGTTCAATGCTTTGTGGAAGGGAGATGTTTTGTTACAGAATTGTCTGTTGATTTTTTTATTTTTTTCTTAGGTCCAAAGCTGCCTATTAATGTCACTACGCTCCTCTCAGGATTCATTTTTTCATACATATGTATGAAAAACCCCAGTTTTGGTTTTGGTGCTCTTACCACTCCATTTTTTCCTATGTTGGCACACTTACACCTCTTGGGAATACCAGGTCTGTGCCTGGTTTGCAGCCACTGCCAATACTCTTGCTTGGCAGGCTGGTGGAATACTTGTTTCTGCTTGGGTTTGCTGGCATCTGCCTCAAAGTGGGCAGCCTGTGCCAGCCAGCAGACTATTAGCCTTGTCAAATATTGTGACTCTCTGGTGAATAGCACAGCGCGTAATGTTGGCAACACTGGAGTAGCTAAGCCTACAAGTAATTACTTGATTTGCAATTGTTTACTTCTTTATGTGCAAAGGCTGGAAAAATTCTGACATACACAAAAGGATAAATGTTAATCTGCCCTGTGCCTTTGTGCTAATTACCTTTCTTCCATGATCTCTCTAATAGCTGCCACATTAGGACCGGCTCCTAGATGAGTATAGAAAGGACCTTCATCTTTTTCAATAATTTGTTCTGTTTAAAATAAAATGCAGGTTACAACCTCTAAATTTTAATAATTTCATTTAAGAAATGACATTGCAAAACTTACTCATAACTAGACATTAGACATTTAGACTTCGTGAGGTCAAATTTCCCCACACAAGTGTGTAAGGTATCCTGGCAAAATATGCACACGTATGCTAAAAAATGATGTATGTATTTGCATAAGTATATATGCCAAACATAGGTTACATTCTTGCAAACAACTGTTGCAAACAGGAGTAGTTCCGCAAACACAAATGTTATATTTGCAGCTATACTGCAATTAATATCAGCATATCTTAAAAGTTACTGAACAGTATTTACCACTTCTTGTTAATGTTTAGAGAAGAGGAGGACCTCCTTGACAACACTGGTCAATATTGGTACCAGTGGGCTGTACAGTATTTTTTTTTCTTTTGCACAGACATGTAATTTAGGCACCTCAGGCTTGAAAATATGGCTCCTAGTTATACATAGCCTCCCAGTCTCCTCCCCCAATACACGTTTTTTCCCAAGGCTTTTCATGATTGATTGAGAACAGGTAGCTGGGCAATATTCTGCAAAATAGCTGTTCTAAATACCTTTGTATCTTGAGAATAGTTGCTTATACATTTGGGTGTAAGCAATTTAGCCTTTTTAATCAGTAAAGCCAAATCTTAATTCACAGCACACAATACATTTTACAAGAAGTTGACTCCATTAGTGACTAAAAAGAGTTGGGTTCATGAAAAATGGGCAACATGAACTAGTTGGGCAGCGGCTGCAAGCTGATTCTGTGCATTGTTACTATAGCATCATGAACTGAGTAAGCTGATGGTGGTGTCTGTGTATAGCTTTGGGAAATAAGACAAAGACATGCTTTGGACCTGCACAAATAAAGGTGCAGGAAATTAATATAAAAACTCCTTCAAACAATTATGGGTGTGGGGGAAAACAACAAATACTACCATGTTATGCTATAGCACTGGGTTTGCTCTGAAAAAAAGAAGATGGATACCATGCTCCATTACTTTTGCATGGGTGAATACTGAGGAATTGAAACAATAAGTGGAGAGCAATCTCCACAGTTGCTGTATTGGCCACAAATCAGAGTGGGAAACATGATAGGAATGCCAGATGTTGAGGGAAAGCTTATCTGTGCCAAATGCACTGAAGAAATGGTTATAAAAATCCATGTGTGAATAGTAAGGTAAGCATATCTACTCTGCAAGTGCTAGTGATCCAAGTTAAAAATGAAGATACAAAGTTTTGCTTTTTCAATTCCATTTCTCTTGGTTTCTCAGCAAATAGGGAGGAGGATTAAGAAAGAAGCTTCCAGTTTTCTAATCTTCAATAACTATTTGTAAAGCACCACCTCCTCTGTTTAGTCCTGGGGTGACTTAAAACATTTCAGAAGG